GCCCCGCCCCGTCGGGTCTTGGCTCAGCGTTCGGCGAGTAGCGAGCCTTTTGCAGTAGTGACCCTCGGGCCTGGCCCGGGGTAAGAAGCGTACTCACGTCCCCACGCTCCATCTGGCTGGCACATACAGGTCGTAAAAGACCGCCTCGGCCTCCTCAGTTGGCACAGAGACCCATTTTAAGCCTGTCTTCCAAAATGAGAATGCCATCACTCGAAACTGTTTAAGGTGTTTGTTTTGTTTACCTGGACCCTCAAGTAGGGTATGGGGCACATGTGAATCACAGCTAATGCATGATTGCATGAATAATTCGAGAGAACCGGTAACTTGTAATATTAAAAAACTGGAAACGGTTAACACTTGCGCAAAAGAAAATAACATCTCTGCTCTGAGAATTATGATTATAGCTGTTGAAATGTACATTTGTGGTCTGACTGGAAGCATGACCACGTTAAGTGGACAACCATTATAACTACAGGATGGCAGCTATGTTGTGTGTATGCTTAGTTTTTTGAGACTGGGTCTCGCTCCATATCATTCTGGCCCTGAACTCACTTTGTAGCCCAGGCCGGCTTCAAATTAGCAGTGATCCTCCTGCCTCAGCCTCCTAAATCCTGGGATTACAGGTGTGCCCTACCTGGCTTGGCTCCATAAAGCTACGTAATGATATCATTTATGTTAGTTTTTATAAGTGCATTTATAGAGGTATAGGTTTATGAAAGTGCATTGGGTTTTGTTTTTGTTTTGCACGCTGAGGATCAAACGCAGAACTTCTGCAAGCCAGGCAAGCGCTCTACCAGAATTACACCCCTAACACAAAAAGTGCACGGTTGAAAGGTCTAAATAAGAGAACACATCTGGTGAAAGGGGGAATCAAGATACATCATGTACAGATACAAATTCCCTATGATGAATGTGATCATTATGCATATCTAAATTGTCTAAATTGTACCAATAAAATTAAAGATTTTAAAAAGTTTTTAAAAGGCTACATCCCCAGCTCTTAACTGTGGGATGAAATGGAAAGGGGAAGAAACCTTTCATCTTTTTCCTCATGTTTTTATATTATTTTAATTTTTTACAAGAGTAATATAGCCACACATTACTTATGTAATAATATTTAAATTTCAGGGCTGGGGATTTAGCTCAGCGGTTCGGTGGCCTGACGCGCAAGCGCAAGGACCCGAGTTTGATCTCCGGTACCAAAAAAAAAATTTAAATTTCAAAAACTACGTACTCCCCAAGTGTCTTATGAAGAGGAAGGCAGCAGGTCCAGGAGCTGTGTACTGGTTTTGAAAGTTGCTTGCTTTTGCATCAATGAGTTCTCGTTGAGAGATTGATTAATCCATTGGGAGTGGACTGGAGAGGCTTAAGGCATACAGCTGGTTTCCACCCAGGCCTGAGAGAGAAGTTTATTTATTTAAATTTATAAATAAGAACTATTCCAACTTTCCAGAAACAGACGGGAAGTTTTATTGGGCATAAGGGAGGAGAAAGGAAAAGGAAAGCTTTTAAAGAAGGTCCCCAAAGGGCCCAGGGCTTTCCTTCTTTTCTTTAACCTCAATCTTTTCATAAATAAATTAAGGGATAATGAGGTAATTAGATCCTGCACCATTAGTAACAGAGGGAAGAAGAGGAAAGGAAGTCCAGCCAGAATGAGCAGGATCAAAGATTGGTTTTAAAAAGCCGGGTGTAGCGGCGCATGCCTGTGATCCCAGCACTCAGGAAGCTGAGATAGGAGGATTGCTGTGAGTTCCAGACCAGCCTGGGCTACATAGTGAGTTCCAGGTCAGTCTCAACTACATAGTGAGATCCTGTCTCAAAACAAACTAAAAAAAAAAAAAAAAAAAAAAAAATTGGTCTAAAAAAAAAAAAAAAAAAAAAAAAAAAAAAAAAAAAGATTGGTCTTAAAGACAGATAAAATCAAATCAGCGGCTCTTTCATAATGTGGGGTGCTAAGGAATTGGTTTGCTGACAGCTTCCAGGCCTCACTGCTTTGGGTGTAGGTTCTCCTTAGCAAATCAGTCACAGGAGGTCTGCAGCTAAGTTAACCACTTCACTGCTCAGAGACACCCAGGATCCACCTTGGGGCCTTAAACCTTAAATAGTCTTCAAGGGCCCTGAGTGGCCATCCTTTTGTTTCACAGTTATTTTCTGAGCTCTCAATGCTACCTTGCCCTGAGGACAGAGTAGAGAGTAAATCAGGTGCTAGCCCTTAAGAAGTATCTCTCCATGTTGGAAAGTCAAGGCTAGGCAGGCTCATAAGCTCAATTCTTTAGAGCAACTGCGGGGCCCAATATCAGCTGCATCTGAGCAAAGCCTGTTTTGCCATACGGCTAAATCACTGGCACCTTAGGGTTGTACTCCTAAAAATAAGTAAATAAAGGAAAGATATTCAAGCATCATTATTATGGGGGCACTCAGCCAATCTAAAATAATTGCATTTCTTCAAATATCTAGGTTTTCTCTAGAATTTAGTTTTTGTACCAACATTCTTTTCTCTAGTCCTGACCTTCCACCACTGGGATCTAGCTGACTCTTCCTCAAACCTTATAGTCTCTGAGAAGCATTCCCTGGTAGTCAAGATAGGTAGGAGCTTATAGGTCAGATTCCCTAGGGCTGGGGATTTAGCTCAGCGGTGCCACTGCCTGCCTTGCAAGCACAAGATCCTGCGTTCGATCCCTGGTGCCAATAAAAATAAAGTTTCCCTAAACCCAGATTCTTGCCTCATCTAAGCACAATTATACAGTTTACATGTAAGATTTCCGTTAAACCATGAACCCATGAGGAAGACATATGTATCTACTTCCTTAGTACCGGAGCAGCTACAATAGGCTCCTGCAAGATATTTATCAAATATATGGAAGGAAGTTTTTGTTTTATTTTTGAGACAGGGTCACTATACATCCCAGGCTGGCCTCAAACTCAAGATCCTCCTCCCTCACCTCCACCTTCTCCCACACAGTGCTGGGATTACAGGTGTGCACTACCACACCCAACTGAAGGTTTTTAAAGTCAGAAAAAAAATTATTTTTAAGGGCCTGGGACTTAGCTCAGTGGGGCCACCGCCTGCCTCGCAAGCGCAAGGTCCTGCATTAGATCCCCAATGCCAAAAAATAAGAAGTAGAATTTTTTTTTCTAAACGATTATACCTTATTTCGGGAACTTTAGCAATGAAACAGCTGGGTAACAAGACAATGATAAGTGAAAAAACCCGTATCACTTTTTTTTTTTTTTCTGGTACCAGGGATCAAACTCAGGACCTTGCACTTGCGAGGCAGGTGGCAGAAACACTGAGGTAAATCCCTAGCCTGCTTTTTTTTTCTTTACTACTAGGGATTGAACTCAGGGTTTTGCACTTGCCAAGCAAGTGCTCTATCACTGAGTTATATCCCAGTTCCTTGCAAACCTAGCTTTTTAAAAGCAGAGCTTCTAAACAGACCAAAATGCCCGGATATTGAATCAGCAGAGAATGGCAACGCCCCAGTGAAGGAGATGAAGGATAGTTACTGACGTTGTTTATTGAGTGATAAATGTTTTGCTTTTGGAAAGTGGATTCTCAAGAATATATACAGGTGCGGCGGGCTGGGGATTTAGCTCAGTGGCTCCAGCGCCCGCCTCGCAAGCACGAAGGCCCCGAGTTCGATCCCCGGTACAAAAAAAAAAAGAATATTATACAGGTGGAGCACAATGAAGACTCTTTTGCCTTACAAATATGTAGTCTCTTAGATGCAAAAAAAAATGAAGGTGGAGCCAAGCATGATGGTGTAAACCTGCATTCCCAGCACTTGGGAGGCTGAGATGAAAGGATCTCTTGAGTTTAGGAGCTCGAGACTAGCCTAGACAACATAGCCAGACTTCATATTAAAATATTAACAAAACAGAAATAGCTGGGCATTTGGTGCACGCCTGTAATCCCTGAAGCAGGAGGATTGCTGCAAGTTTGAGGCCAGCCTGGGCTACATAATAAGTTCAGGACCAGCCAAAACTACAGAGACGCTCCCTCAAAAAAGAAAGTAAAATAAAGATCCTCACTAAATCAAAGTCTGCTCCTTTTACCATTCGAGGGAGTATTTCTTGACCCATGTTTAGTCATTTCTTTTTTTTCTTTTTTTGGTACCAGGGATCGAACTCGGGTCCTTGCGCTTGTGAGGCAGGCAGCAGAACCACTGAGCTAAATCCCCGGCCCGAGTCACTTCAATTGAGTACAAAATATATGTTTAAGAACTGTGTTAGACAACGAGGATACGAGGCCCAGGGAGGCAAGTATCAGAAGGATTGATAGCAAGATACCTCAGGGATTTCAAAGAAAGAAGTGCTCACATCTGGTTTGGGACAGCAAAGATCCAGGAAGAGACGAGCCTGAGAAGATGAGAAGGAAATGGAAAGAGAAAACATTCCAGACAGATGAGCAGAGTCAACGCAGAGGAAGCGCAGCACGTAGTCCTCGCCTGAGCTGCCGCCCTGGAAGGGTTCTATGGTAAGAAAGTGCAGAAAAAAAAAAATTATTTCTGTCCCAGCACACTCGGGAGGCTGAGGCAGGAGGATCGCTGTGAGTTCCAGACCAGCCTGGGCCACGTAGTGAGTGCCAGGTCAGACTCAACTACATAGTGAGACCCTGTCTCAAAAAACAAACAAACAAACAAAAAATTTCTGAACATCATTATATGTTCAACTCACATGATATTATGAATACGGTTGGCATGAAAGTCATGTTTAGGATGAAAACCAAAATACTACTCTGCTAAAGAGTATATAAATTAGGGTGTTATATGTGACACACATACCATATACGAATTATATTAGATTTGTGTCACATTCTTGTAATCAGTACTCGAAGGCT